TATAGATTATTTATAATAGTTTAATATAAAAATCTATCTAGTTAATATCTATATATATAAATTATAAATATAAACTATAATTTTAAAATTAATTAGAACTTAATAGATCTAATATATTAATTATTATATTAATAAAAGAAATACTATATTTATTATATATAGAAATAAAGATAGAATTTAAATTTATCTAAGAAAAAATAAAAAAATATTATAATAAAACTAGATTAGAAAAACTAATTTTAAAGGAGAAAGATAAGATTTATTTATTCTATAAAAATATTATAATAATAAAACTAAATAATAAATTAAATTATAAAAAGCTTAAACTATTTAAAATTTTTAAAAAAAAATCAGATATTAATTATAAACTCTTATTACTAGATATAATATATATCTATTTAGTTTTTTATATTTTATTACTTAAAAAAGTACTAGATAATATATTAAATTAAGATTATCTAATTAAAATCTATAAAAAAGAATTTAAATTAGAAAAAATTCTAAAGAAAGAAATTAAAAATAAATAAATATTTTATTTAATAAAATAAAAAGATTATAGAGAAAATAATAATATCTAGAAACTAGTTAAATACTTAAAGAAGTATTAATATCTAATTTACTAGTTTTAATAAAAGAAAAAAGAGAAACTAAATTAGAAAAATCCTCTTTAAATCCTAATAAATTTAAATCTATCTTAGAAATAATTTCTAAAAATTAAACTTTCTCTATAGTATATTATTTAGAAGTATTAAGAAAATTAAAAACCTAGCTAGAAGATAATTAATTTTCTTTATTAAGCTCTTAGAGATTATATTAAATCTCTTATTATATCTTACTTTTAATATAGCTATATATCTTATAGATATATTAGATATACTCTAGAGCTATAGAAAGATTACTTTAGAGCTAAATTATTTATTAATATAAAAAAAAAATCTTCTTATCTATATTAGATTTTTCTTTAGTTAGTTTTTTCTACTATATTATTAGCTTTTTTATTAGAAAATAAAATTAGAAAAAAAAACTAAGAAAGAAAGAATATAAAAATACTTATAATTAGATATAACTAGTACTCTATTATAATAATAACTATTTTATATATACTTATTATACTAAGAAGACTTTCTATCTAGAAGAATAAAATACTCTTTTTTTATTTTAAAATATAGAGTATATAGTATATTAGCTAGTAAACTAAATATTTAGATAGTAGTAATAAGAAGGATCTATTTATAAATCTTAGAATATACTAGCTTTTAAATATAATTAGATATAATAAATATTATAATATAGTTATTATATATAAAGAGAGAAAGAACTTACTAAGATTATATAAGATCTTAAAAATAAAATTAATAGAGAGAGAATATTATATTATAAATAAAAGCCTCTATAATAAGTTATATAATTATATATATTCTACTATCTAAAGAATAGAAATAATAGAAGTATTATATTCCTATTATAAAATATAATTAGATTACTAGGAATAATATACTCCTTATACTCTATAACTATTATATATATATATTTATTTTATTAGTTAGAATACTCCTTTAGATAGTTATTAATATAATTATCTATATATCTATTATTACTAGCTCTATAATACTTATATATTAATAGTAACTTATATTATATAGCTTAAGATAATCTAATTATACTATTCAGAATAATACTCTAATTAGTTTAATCCTAACCTACCCTAGACCCTATTTAATATAAGTTATCTAACTATTATATAATAACTATATCTACTAGATCTATTTTTATATTATATAGTCTATAGCTACTATATACTATTAGTACTTAAAGTAGATAAGATATAATTAGATTAAAAGCTATATCTTAATTATAGCTACTTATTTATTTATATATATTATAATTTAAGGTTTTCTTTATAGTTCTAATATATTCTATATTATTTTAAACTAATTAGAATAAAAATAGTTCTTAAGAATTAATTAAAATTAAGCTTTTTTTATTTTAAAATAATATAATTCAGATTAAAATATATTAGAATTTATTTTAATTTAATCTAGAATTATATATATTTAGAAATAAAAAAGTTAGTTACTTTTAAGATTATATATTAATTTATCTCTATAAGTATAATATATATTTATTACTATAGGAAATTTTTATTAGAAATAATATAGATTTAATATTAACTTAATATCTATTTATATATACTTAGTTATACTATATAATAAAATATTTATATATAATTACTTACTATTATTAAAATTATAAAAATTATATTTATTATTATATAAATTCTATATATAGTATTTATAAGAACTATTCTAATATCTCTTAATAATATAATATTTATAGAAAATTAGATTATAATTATTTCTATAATAAAAAATAGTATTATTATAATCTTTATAGAGATCTATTATCTATATACTAATAAGTTAGATTATAAATATAATCTAGTTCTATATATAATTTTAGTTTCTAAATTATTACTACTTAGATATAATAATTTTAATTATATTTATATACTAGATAGAATATTAGTTATATATAAAATATTATAGTATATATAAATAAAATATAAACTTATAGTAATATTTTAAAGATAAACTATATATACTTTATCTCTATTATAATAAATCTTTCTAAATACCTATATAGTTATAATAATATAATTATAAGTTAATATCTTTATTAAAAGTTTACTATAATATAATATTATAAAATAAGTTTTCTTTTTATCTTTATAGATTATAATACTAATAAGATTAAAATTAGCTAAATTACTTTTAATATTATTTATAGTAATATTATTAATAATTATAAACTCTTACTTCTTATTATTATATTTACTTTTTTTAAATAGTATTATATCTAATTTAAATATTATAATAGATTTAGTAGTAGAGATTATAAAGATAACTATCTATTATTATATATAATATTAGTATATATATATAAAGTAATAGTTATTTTATTTATAATATCTTTTATAAGTATAATTAGTATAGATCTCTTAGTACTATTAGTTATAGTTACTATATTTTTAATAACTACTATATCTTTAATAGATATTATATAAATACTACTATTAGATATATTATCTCTATTAAGATTTTAATATCTAGTTTTAGATAGTATTATATTAGGAAAGATAGTTATTATAATAGATTATTATAAGTTATATATTAATTAATATAGAATTCTAATATAAGATATAAATTATTAACTAACTTTAATATAAAGATAATATATTATATTTACTTAAAAATAGTAGAAATATATAAAATATATAATAAAATACTATTATTAATTATAAGCTTTATTAATATATAAGAAATATAAACTATATAATTAAATTTAATATTTTAAGTATATATAGGGGGGTTTATAGAGCTTAAAATTTAATATTATATATTACTATAGCCTCTATAGTACTATATAGTTATATAAATATATAGATAGCTTTATAAAGTCTAAAAATAGGGAAAATATATATCTTTTTAGTAGTAATAAAGAGGAAAGCTAGGTTTTATAAAAGTAAAGCTATTTTATAGCTAGAAGTAAGAAAGATATATACAGGCTATATTTATTATTATATAATATATTTTACTTCTCAGAATACCCGCGAAGCGGGCTACACAAGGCTCGTAAGTACTAATGAGCCTCGCTCCGAGTTTTCCGATATGAGGATCCCCTCCTATGGACTTGTGCTATCAGTCACAAGGTTGTTGCTTTCAACATAGCTCATCACTCCTGCCGAGGATGGTATAGTGACATTGTCTTAGAAATTCTCTACTGATAATCTATTGGGTCATTGTTATTGGGTCATTGTCATAGGTAAAGTTGTCTTTCGGATCAAGAAGGCGAATTTTTCTGAATGGCTAACGTATGGAGCTCAGGGTTGGCAGGTGGCCATTTGCTCATTTAACAAATCAATGTTCGTTACTTCGAATTTACACCTATGACAACTACCTGGCCAAGCACTTTAAAGCCTATGCGTGGTTTACCGGATCATATGATTCTACCAACACGATGGCCACTCCCTAGATCCTATGCCGGGTTCTCGAGTAGTGTTGCAACGAACCGCCGGGTCGCCGTGTCATTATGGTGGCATCATCCCCTTTTCGGCGATCGGCACCATAATCGTGATAACGGTCTCATATAGTCCTCATTAGGCGTTTTAGGACTCACCTTCTGGTACCTACAATGCAGTTGTTAACACATTTTCAGCATATTTTATCAGAGTCAGCTGCATTCTAACATATTTTGCTTTGGCCACTCTGTCTGCATTCCCGCCGTGGAGCACCCAGTTGCGAGGTTCTATCAAGGTGCTTACAGGCATTTTTGTTGTGTTCAACATCTTTAAAGTTATCTTTTACTCCTGTATTTCATAATTAGTGCCCGTGTGTTGCGATTGTAGAACTCCGATATTTGCTGACACTCCACCAAAACCTCCTTTGGAGGCCAACCAACCCAGGTGAATTCCCTTGGTTTAAAGGTGCTGTATGACGGAGTCTTCATAACAAGGTAATGATGTGAGACTTGGTGAGATCAGAAAGAACACATTCTCAGGGGTAGTATTGGCCTAGCCGGCTAACAGTCTGAAGGTGAGTATGTATTTGAGTTGAAAATAGCCAAGAAATGGTTCTGCAAGAACGAATTTGTCAAGGTAGCCTTGGAAAAATCACTACAAATATGTTCTACCAGGTGTGGAGGTCCAGTGCGAAACATAGTAAGATATTTATATTTAGAATCCGTATCAGCATCCATTATTTACGCCCCTGTTGAACCCAGAAGAGTCCATCGAGTTAGGGTCGCTACGTCAGAATACGCACTTCATTGCCTGTTTTTTTTTCGGGGTGAATAACCAATAACCAGATTCCATGTCTTCTCACTATCACTTGGATCCTTGCTAGGCCTCTAAATACAATTTTGGCGGAATCTAATTACAAGCACTCATCTGATTTGTATCATCGTGTTCCAGTTTACTATGAAGACGTTGTACAGCACGATTATCAGAGTTGTATTTCCACGACCGGTCCGGTATATTCCTTTCTCCCCACCGCAAAATACCAGACAATGGCAAAAAGCAGTGTTCCGCCCCAAGTCAAGGCACTAAAGTTCATGCTTTCAGGTGTCACTTCGGGGATGGGAGGCCAGAACGCGAAGAACCAGACAACGAACAAGTAAATGCAAGCAAACGTGTTGTTGACTATACCAAAAATACCTGGTATTCTCCAAGGCCCCCATTGTAGGCTGTTAGGACCGACATGCGTCGTCTCGTCATTATAGGACCGAATGCCATTCGGTTGTAGGCGCCGCCAGAGAAGTAGTGCGCAGCAGAGCAGGTACGACGAGTAGAGGCCGACTGCGCTGAGGTTGACAATATTGCTGAAGGCGACGCTCGAGCCGAGGGTGATGAGTGAGAGAAGAACGGACACAAGGGTCGTGAATCCCACGGTGTATATCGGAATTGCTGTTCGGCTGTGGAGCTGACAAAGTAGGAATGTTAGCAGGTGTTAACGGGGCACATTGCAGGAGATTTCTGTTCTTACCCTGACAAAGTACTTCCAGAAGGGTACCCCTCGATCTCTGGCAAAAGACCAGAGCATCCTGGATGAAGACGCCAGAACGCCAACAGTGCTGCAGATGCCGAGTATGACAATGATGAGTCCCATAACCCCCGCACCGTTTCTTGATCCTGTCCCGTTCCAGAAGACTTGAAGGAACGGGTAGCCTAGCGTATATTGAGCCTCCAACGCGGCATCAATATCCCCAAGACAAAGCAGATAGGCTAGCAACATGGCTAGTCCAAGGATTCCATTGATTCCCAGGCTGAACAGAACAGCACGTGGGACAACAACAGAGGCGTTCTTAATCTCTTCAGCCATCTTAACGAGAAACACGTTAGTCAACATGCTTATGCGCTGCTAGTTATGTAGTACCTACGTGCACGGCAGAGTCTGCACCGACGAGAGAGAAGACTGAAGCTGGAAGGCCGACCATGAAAGATAGACCCATTGTCGGCCATTCTCCTCCGTTTAGAAATGTCGTAAAGACTGAAGAGTCCCCGTGGGGAGCTAGGTAAACGAAAGGGATCAAGATGGCGAAGAAGCCCAAGATGTGTAAAACCAAAATCAAGCCCTCAAACTGTGACAAGGTCTTGCTAGCGACAGTGTTGATGAGGACCGCAAAGGCAAGAATGACCCACAAGAACATCATGGTTTGCCATGGCTGAGGAACATAGTCGGGAACGAAGAGTATGATCACACTTTGGAGTAGGGAACCAATTAGATAAGCTGCGGAGGCTGGTACCGCCTGCCATCCTGCAAATGTCATCCAACCTTGATATGTTGTCAGTTATTATCCGGAAATGGGAGTGTATCTGTGGTCTGTATATTACCGGTGATGTAGCTTAGAAAGTTTCTCGATGACTCTGGTGACAACATCGCCACCCAGCTTTATAGACGATTAGCTGATAGATGAACCAAACTGAGATTCAATAGGAATGCGTACTGGTATTGTCCTCCTGAAGTTGGCGCCCTAGAAGTTGACCAGTGAGCACACTGGGCCTCTACTTTGGTGAGATGATCTCGCTGCTACTCACATGGAGGCTAGTTCTGAGAGGACGCTATAAGTAGAGATGCTCCCGAGCCAAACAATAAGATAACCCCATAGGACACCTCCTGGGCCGCCGCTGGATAATTTGCAACATGTGAGCAAAGACGCTTCTGAGATAAGTGAGTTCAATTTACTTACTTTACGAGGCTTTGAGTTGAGACACTACGCTATGTGTGTGAGACGATGCACTGCCTGAATACGGGAGTGCTGCAGACACCTACATCATAATTCCCTCCCATGTAATCAAGACGGTGCATGAGAATCCCAGAATGGACATGAAGCCAAAGGTTCTCTAATTTTGATTTAGAATACTGCCATTAGGAGGGGATTTTGGGCGAAAATTACCTTTAAAACTGGCCTTTTGCCTAATCTGATCAGATCTCTATCATCCGTACTTATTTCATAGCTGTTGTTGTGGTCTGCGACCGAGGGCTTGGAGCCCCGTTCACGCAGTTCGAGATCCATCTAAGCTGAATGTTCTAACGTCTGGTTAGTGATTAGATTGAGACTTAGAGCAGACGAAGAAAACAAAAGGAGAGAAAGGAAGAGAAAATAATGCGAAGGGAGAGGAAAGTCGAACAGTACAGCGGCAACTCACGTAGCACTGCTCTATCTGGGCATGCATAGCAAATCGGCCCAACTCAAAATGTCAGGTGTTATATTACCTCTGAAGGAAGAGGCGCACGCGGTGTGCTAATCAGGTTCTCAATCGCTACCAGACATGTTGCATTGCGCAGTGGCGGCTGTCACTCACTGGCATAAATAGAATGCTACCCCTGAACCCTGATGATTCCGAGGTCTCTTGCGCAGAGCCATCCGGGTGCGATGTACAATGTATACAACGCACCTAGACCACCATTGTAACATCAGATGATGCGAAATAGAATGCCTCTTCTGACTGTGCCGGAGAATCACCATAGCGGTCCAATCGGATACGCATACATGGGTGATAACAGGGATGGGCTTTTCAGCTGTCCCATTCCGATACAACTCGCCACTTTCCATCCTCCCCTGCGATCTAAGCCTACGGGGAGGTAAATCCTTCGGTTCGGTATAGGCTTGGCAGAGAAAACAAGGTGGCTTCCGTTGTTTTCCTGATGGTAAGGATCCATGTCACCGTATCAATGCCTCATTGCGTCGGCACACGACCTCAGATATGTCGAGACTACACTCTTTGTAAGATTTGCCCGATTGAAATGTAAGGAAGCGTCTTTCCAGCTTGTGATTTTCACGCCTCAAGTCATTTCTTGAGGATTCTTTGGCTCGTGTGACTTTGAGATCAGTTCTACGGACTTGATCATTGACCGACGCGATCATGGACGACAATCGGCCTCATATCACTGACGATGATTTGTCCGCTCTGATTCAGATCTTGACCTGGCTGTGGTTGACATTTTCCCTCCTTTTCGCTACTGCTCAGTTCTTCACCAAATGGACACTCTCCAGGCGCCCGGCACTCGCCGATGCGATTCTAACCCTCGCTCTGGTAATCAATACCTCATCTCGAAGGCGATTGTCGCGGACTTCTAGCTAATGGTCGACTGCCGAACCTAGATTTGTGCATCAGCGCAGGCGGCCACTGTCCTCAGCACCCCGGGAAGAGTGATCGGAAAATCGCATGCTCTTCTAGCTGATGGGCAAATCAGAAACGCTCTAAAGGTATTGTGATCTGCCACCTCACTCTCTCGCACCGAGGTTTGTGACGTTTGGATCTGACGTCGAGTAGGTTCTGTATGCGAGCGACATACTTACGTTCTTTTCACTCGCGATAACAAAAGCCTCCGTCCTCGTTGCCTTTCTCGATATTACTCCGTCCCGATCGCATCGGCTTGTTATCTACATCACTGGTGGCGTTGTGGGAGCATGGGGCATTGCTGCTGTATTTACTACTGCGTTTCAATGCCCGGCTCCAGACAGATGGGATACCACGAGCGCATCTTGCGTGGATATCGTGAGTTTAAATTGAATTCACAGTCTTTTGGTGTCTAAGTTGACCGAGATATACATAGGCGACGGCGCAGACTGCTCTAGCTAGCATTATGATTCTCACGGATGCTGCTTTAGTGGCGATCCCTACAGTTGTTGTTGTTCCACTCAAGGTGAAATGGTCAAAACGCTTGACAGTGTTGGCAGGATTTTGGGCACGTATCTTGTACGTTTCATGAATCACAGGGTGATTTTTAGTTGACGACAATCACTAATTCTGCTCACATCCACCAGTGTTATCGCAGCTACCATCGTCTATATGGTCTTCCTTCAACAGCTGCCCCGCGATGGGGATTATTTATTGGATGTAACCAAGACCCTTCTTTGCAAAGAAACCATCCAGATGACAAGCATTCTGGCTGCGACCATTCCATTCCTTAAGCCGTTCCTTATTAGCCTGGAGTCGGGCTTTCTTCGAGCGGACGACGAGAATCGCCGAGTTGACACGACTGCGTATGGAACAGGAGATGGCCCGAGCAAGCCGACGAAAAGTGGCAGGTCTGGACGGAGTTCGTCCAAGTACGTGCAAATCCCGGATAAACACCCCTCTGCACAGCCGTCAATAGAACTTCGGTCGACCGAAAGCCGGGATGCAACTCTGCTCGGGCATGAGTAGATGCAAAGATAGTCTTAGGTCTCTTTTGAGTAATGGCCGAAATAAAGCATAATCATCATCTGTCACTGATGCATTGTATTACCTGCCATTATGAACATGTGTGTAATCAAGCTTACCGTAGGTCAACCCCTCCCTTCTTTCAGGGGTGCGTGCATCGGCCCGGTGCCGTTGCCTCCTTTATTGAACCGGGGTCGCAGTCTCGAAGGATTCAAGCCGCATACAAAATGTAACAGGTTTTAGATAAGAACACAGGACCTTGTAACCCCACGGCATCGACGTCTAGAGTGATCGCAATGGCATCAGCGCCTAGCAGGGATGGTCATGGCATCTGACCCCAGGTTTACGGTTTACGGTAGTGCATCAGGATTGACGGACGGGTTACCTGACGAGTCACCGTTAAATCACATCGAATTCATTTAGATAACTTGTAATCATAGATTCAACTAGTGTTCTTAGCTAGAAGGGGTAGGGACCGGGCGGAAACCATCTTGTTTATCAATTTCCCAAGGCTGGTCTAGAGCTGCCCGAGCGTAGTAGATTTTCCAACACCCCTGATGGTACCTAGTTCAACGATCAAAGACTGCATTGCATCTCATGCAACTACTGGATGCCAGCGTCAACAAGAGGGGGCACAGGACTGCCACGCTTCTCGATTCCGGCATCAACCAAAGGGGGAACAGGGCTTGCGCGCTTCTCAATACCAGCATCAACAAGAGGAGGCACAGGGCTTGCACGCTTCTCGATTCCAGCGTCGACTAGGGGAGGCACTGGACTTGCTCTCTTCTCAATACCAGCATCCACGAGAGGAGGGAGTGGGCTTGCTCTCTTCTCGATTCCAGCATCCACGAGAGGAGGAACTGGACTTCCCCTCTTCTGGACTGAACCTGTATCCTGAAAGTTAGGTAAGAACTCTATAGAATCGAAGAATGAAAATCTTACCCAAAGGTGCCGCGGAAGTGCCTAGGGCAAGAGCCAAAGCCAAGATGGTACGGAACTGCATGATTGCCAGGTGATAGTGATTTGGGAATTGGAAAAGGAAGTGATGTTGAAAACCCTGATAAAGGTAGCTTGTGGGAGCCAGTTGTTCAGACCTATTGACGCCCTAGTTATAGTTCTTCAGTCTAGCAGTCACATTTCTTCCTAAATCGTGACACCGGGACATAATCGCGCAAGAGTAAGCCTAGGCAGGATGTGATTTGCCAGAATTGAATAGAATTCAGCCGAAGAGAACAAGAGAATCGTGTCGATACCGGACCGGCTAACTATTCGGCGCCTCGCTGTCACCATGCATACCTTAGATCCAATCCCACATGCACGAGCAACTCCTTTGCGACAAGATTGACCAGTAAGAGACAGTCTGAGCGATGTTACCGAGTGTGAGAATACAACATTAGATCACATGAGCATACTTGTACCAATGAGACTAAGAGAATCGTCTTATGCCTTTCATGCAAGATTATCGTGTGCCTACCATTGCCTGAATCCCACGGCGATGTTCGGAAGAGGATCTCTCAACCCCTCTTTCTACATTCCGACGAAGATGAATCACATTAGCCGGATAGAGCAGTTTGCGTTTTTTTGTCTTTAACTCAGTAACATCTCCGAGAAGAATTTCATTAGTGTGATTTACCCACACCACTTCTACTTCACCGATTAGCTGTGCCTAAACTACTCAACGATCTACACTTCATCATGGGCAAGTACGAAGAGATACCTTCCTCTGACTCTCTTGAGAGTCATGAGCCCTTCCTTGGCCATCCCAGATTCACAGTCCAGAGTGAACACAAGGCGTATCGAATCCTGCGCCATGGAGTACTCACAGTGCTCGTTGTTTACGCAGTAGTTGCGACAGGAGCACTAGTCTGGCTTGGACGCCAGCGTGTTCCGCAGCCATACAGTTCGTTTTCCTCCTATTTTGACCTTTTTTGAAGTTTAGTCTCTAATTAAGTGCATCAAGCACCTGCAAGCGGCGTCATTTCTTATAGACGCCAGCCATTGTATTTTGGGGAGGACAAGTCGTTCTCTGGGAGCCCGGACCATGTCGATCGAGCATGGCGCCAACTTCTTGAGCGTATGTATAGAAAATTCCCCCATCGTGCAAGATCGACCTGATTCTGATAGTCGTTTGCAGCTCTCAACATCCGGACGTCCTATCAAGAGCAACTGGCAGCTCACGCAGAAATCACTGATGAGATCCTTCAGCCATCAGATGGGGGCTATGTTGGAGTCTTGTCTGTTTATCATGAACTCCATTGCTTAGTAAGAATACATTCCAGCAAAGCATCACCGAGGAAGAATTATTACTGAGTCTGAAGCAGGATACACTGCGAATGAACATGGACCCTGAACGATACTACTCAGGCATTTCAGAAGCTGAGAAGCAGAACAATATTGTTCACATGAGTAAGTACAAGTGAAAATCTTACTGTTTTTGCCTCAATGAGATTGGATTAACCAAACGCTGACACATGATAGCACATTGCGTTGACACACTCCGGCGCAGTCTCATGTGCAAGGCCGACCCTGCCATGTACACTGGCTACTGGATTGCAAATCATACCGTAATTCCAAGCAAGGAGCTGCGGTCAAATTCCGATACCATTTGCGTCAACTGGGAGGCCCTGGACGGCTGGGCCCGAGAACGCCTTCTGCCAGCGGACAAGTACAAGGTCAAGCCAGGTCCGTTCGAGAACCAGATGCCAGCCGGCCATCACCATCATGGTTAAGCACCCAATTACATTCGGTAATTTGTCAACATCTCCTCTCTACCAGCTTATTTATGCGGGTATTGGGGGGTGGTATAGAAAAGGGGGGCGGGCGGGGATTAGGCTGCACAATGCCACTTTGACAGGGATAGATATGAGACGGGACAAGAGAGAACGAGGTCACCAAAGTACTTTTCAATAGATAAGACGCGGGCGGAATTTTGTGTCCAGTATCAATATTATGAAATGACCTGCGGTGGAAGTGGTCACGCCATGCAAGCATCGGGACAAGGGAAGCCGGGATGATAATGGCGACCAGGCGAGAGAAACCAGATATGCCACATTAAACAATAAGAATACAAAGTGCCTGTGTGTGCTCTGCCTCAGTAATGCATAATACTAGGCACACGGGGAGACCGGCTCCAAATCCTCCATCGCAAGCTGACCGCATTAGACCCATAAACATGCGCGTTGGTTGCACCTCAAACGGTTGGCAGTACCCTTGTAACATGGAGATATGCCAAAAAGGCAGCACGGAATGATGACATGGTTATAATCAAACACCATACCGTTTAAAAAGTATGGTCACTCGGTCACAATGCATGCTTGATTCGACTGCTTCTTTCTTCCTTCCATCTTCATGCTACCAACCACTGGAAACCAGTTCTCCTTTACTCCATACACCATGACCGAGGGAATCGCGCCATTCATTGTCCCGGGCCTAGCCGAACCCGCCAAGACCTGGTTTAAGACCTTTGGGGACTTTAGCACCAACTCGACCCCATTGATCGTCCTCCACGGGGGTCCAGGAGCCTGCCATGACTACCTTCTACCTTTGACGGACCTGAACGTTCCTCTTGTCTTTTACGACCAGATCGGCAATGGGTTATCGACTCATTTGCCCGAGAAGAACGGCGACGAGGAGTTCTGGTCTGTCGATCTTTTCAAGGACGAGTTAGATAATCTGATTGGTTATCTCGGCCTGAAGGATCGTCCAATTGACATTTACGGACACTCTTGGGGTGGAATGCTCGCTGCGGAGTGGGCAGTAACTGAATCGAGCTCAAACCTCCGACGACTGATTATCTCGAACAGCCTGGCAAGCATGGACACCTGGCGAATAGGAATGGATTCTCTCAAGGCACAGTTGCCCAGCTGTATTCGGGAGGTCCTAGATGAGGCCGAGAAGACGGAGAATTTCACCAGCCCTGCGTACAACAATGCAATCGAGTTCTTCTACAAACGTCATCTAAGCTTAGCCCGGCCGTGGCCAGCACCCGAGGTTGAAGCAGCTTTGAATTGGTTTGCTACGGACGGAACAACCTACGAGACAATGTATGTATACCGCGCGCTTCGGCACGACGAACCCATGTACATGGCATGCGTACTAATGATGACCGCAATCTTTAGGTACGGGCCAAGTGAGCTGTACATAACTGGGAACCTGCGCAACTGGACCATTATCCCTGAACTACATAAGATCAAAGTGCCCACCCTCTTGATCAATGCCGATATGGACGAGGCGCAGGATGTGACGATGCAACCCTTTTCTGACAATATCAAAGATTCCAAATGGATCAAGATGAAGAACGCGGCACACTTTTCCCACGTTGACAAGAGAGAAGAGTACATCCAGCATGTACAAAGCTTCTTAATCTAAGCGCCCATGCATGCAACGTCGGCGCATGATGTTAACCAACCCCAGTATTTGATAACAACTGCAGATAATGCCCACATTCGGTTTCGGGATGCTTCATGTATTTTTTATTTATTTATACTATTAACCTTCCTAATAGAGTTATTGGCATTGGCACTTTAGGTTGCATCCGGCTCTCTCTTGAGCGAGTGGTGAATCTAGAACTAACCGTAATCAACTTACAAAAGCGAGTGTCAGCTCTCTACGCCTAAATGATATCCTGCCTCGTAAGGATCAGAAGGTTAAACTATGTATAATTCAGCACCTTTAGGCAGCAGATAGGATTCGTGCCAAGCATTTTGCAAGCCAGTGAAGGAAAAAGATATGCGTAGCGTGATCCTATCTTGCGGGTAACATCAGGTAGCAGCCTTCACCGTTTCCGGAAAAATACAGGGAATGTACCTATTGTTACTGTGATGGTTTACAATATCTCCTCTAATGGTAATATATGCGAAGTGGCGTCTGTGGCCAGGGCCTATCAGACCCCCCAACTGTCACTTCTGCATGAACCCCGTAAGCCCTAAACAGATACCGCCGAGTGAAACCAACAGGACAATCAAATCAGTTGGCCCCGACCATTCCATTGATGCAAACTGCAAAGTAACCGTCAGGATGCCTCCCCACTCTCACCCCCTTGTTCAATCTCTACTGCCACTAAGCTGACCGGCAAGCACCCGCTGCTGTCAACCTTGGCTGGGCATCCGATCGGTAACCTCGGCTCGCTCGCCATGAGCCGACATAGAACCACCCCCAGGGGCCACATTATTTGTACGGATTCCGCAGGTAGTATCAATTCGTAAGCACGTTGGCAATACCGTGGAGAAAGTCCAAAAACAATGCACGGGCTGGAAGTGGGGTTGCAACCAACGAAGTGGCCAGATGCTCTAAGCAGTGAGAAGCATAGAAATTGAAACTCGGCGTCTGGCGGGATGGACAAGGTCGAAGTGTCACGCATCCAGGCGTGCCCCTCTTTCGCCTCCCCTTATTTCCTCAAAAACACGGTAAGCAATCCGAGCAAGTGCAAGTTTCAAGTTGTTTCGGAAATACATCTTGCCGGATGCATTCCCCTGTGGAATCGCGAGAGGCTGGGCTTCTCCAGAGCGAGGAGCCCACAGACGACCTCCCCAGAGAGGCGACGGAGGACGAGATTGAGACTCTCGTCCATGAACCTCAAGATATCCCCATCACCGCATGGCTGCTGTCCTTCACCGGAGCTGGAGCTAACCTCGCTCGCTTCGGTATTACTGTGACATGGCGTGCGTGATCTATTATCCCGTATCGCCAGATTGACAGCTAATGGGAATCACAGAGAACTATCTCCAGAACCCTCGCGGGAACCCGCTGCTCCCCGGGGCATTGGGGTTGGGTCAGGCTACGGCAACGACCATTCAGAGCGCCTTTCTGTTCTTTCGCTACTTGACACCAATTCCATTTGCGGTGGTGTCGGATGCATACCTTGGTCGCCATACAACCATGCACATCAGTCTTGGGTATGTGATTCTTGTCAAAGCCAAACTCTCTCCTGATCTAACCACATATATTCCAGGCTGCTTGTCGCTGGGTACATTGTTCTCATTGCGACATCTATCCCCAGCGCGTTGGACCAGGGCGCTGGACTCCCTGGCCTGGTAGTCACCATGATTCTAGTTGGACTGGGCCAAGGAGGTCTGAGTGCAGTCATGTATCCCTTTATTGGTGCGTGAACTCCCACATTGCTACATTTTATTGCCCTTGACTTATAGTCTTTCATTATTGATCGAGAATATAGCGGATCAGATACCTGATGAAAAACCAAAAGTGCGACGGAACAAAAACGGGCAGCTTGTTGTTACTGAGCGCCAACTTGCCGTACAATACGTATTTAACGGCTACTACTGGTATGATGATTTGAGCCCTGATATCGAGACTGAGGTTGCTTTATAATCTTGCCTGGTACTGTTGACTGACGAGAACATCAGGATGGTCAATGTAGGCTCCTTGGTGACGATTGCCACTACTCTCATCGAGAGACACGTCGACTTTTGGCTTGCATTTTTGCTGCCGACAGTCATCTTCATCATCACCGTTTTCCCGGCCATATGGTGGCATAAACGCATCGGTAAGTTACCAACCAGTCCAAAGAGTCGAGTTGTGAGTCTAACACGTCCCAGTCAAGTTACCCCCTGAAGGCAACGTGCTACCTCAAGCAACCAAGGTTCTGCTCCTTGCCTCTGTTTCAGGATTTCGATTATCGGCTGCTTCTCCAGAAACCCAAAAGAGTCTGCATGGTCGCGATGTCCCATGGACCAGCGCTTTCGTGAGCGAAATCCGGCGAGGCCTCAAGGGCTGCCGCGTGATAATATGTTTTGTTATTTTTTGGCTATGCTACGACCAGTCTTCGAATAACATCATCTCCCAAGCCGGTCAGATGAGGCCGGATGGCATCAATAACGATACAATCCAGGCACTCAACTCTGTTGCTTGTATCATCATTGCTCCTTTAATCCAGGATCTTCTCTTCCCGTTCTTACGCAAGCACAAGCTCCCCTTCGGCCCTATATTGCGTATGACGGTTGGATTTCTATTCACTGCGGCCGCGATTGCCTATGCTGCCGGCATTCAACATTACATCTATTCCAAGGGACCTTGCTACAATTACCCTCTCGAATGTGATGCCGCGTTATTGGAAGCAGACTCGGGGAAGCGAGGGCCCAATGATGTGAGCATATGGCTACAGACTCCTTTGCTTGTTCTTCTCGCCTTTGGAGAGATCCTTTGCCTTGTTTCATTGAATGAATATACGTATTCTGAGGCACCGACAAATCTGAAATCAATGGTCCAAGCACTGCAAGCTGTTTCGTCGGCCGCAGGTGCAGCATTGGGAATTGCATTGGGAATTGCGTCAAAGAACCCATATCTTGTCATTCTGTTCGGATCTATGGCTGGTGCTATGGCATTTTCGGCAGCTTTGTTTTGGATAGTTTTCCGGAAGTACGATACCGTATATGAGACACGGAAGTCTAACGTGATAACTGAAGCTGAGAGTTCAAGCAGCTGAGAAGGTTGTTGGGACGAATGACTAAAGTCCCCGTATGGGACGAAGAGGAGTTTAGTACTTCTTTCATTTAAACAATACAGTTCTGGTCTAAAGGGTCTCTCTCATCTATGACTCATGATCAAGGCGGAAATGCTACTAAGGGCATTGAATTCGGAAACTGGGTCCCCAAAAGTACTATGAACGCCCATGGCAGTGCTTCCTATGCCCGTGTTAACTTTGAATATCAGTGTTGTAGAGGCAAATCTTAATGTTCTCAACGAGAAAAAGTAGTGAAAGATTTTCTGAATACTTCTGGGTTCACTTTTTGCATCATATACCTATGCCAGGCTCAAGCCATGCCTTCCATCTTATTTCCCCACCAAACAGACATGCTCTAGATCAAACAAATCTTGTCCGTGTAATGGAAAAGAAAAGAAAAGAAAAATGTACCGCGCTGCCAACTGCTTTATAGGGCTAAAATAGGGCACCGGGATTAATATTATCGTCGTCTTTCGTCTCTCCTTTGCTCTTCAATGGATTCAGAATACCAACTGATCCTCACCTCGCCTCTGTCGCCAGTAATTCGTCGCGTCCAAAACCTCGCCGCATCCCCAAAGCATCCAACCCCATTTGCGTAAGAAGTAGCTACTCGCCTCCCAGCCCCTTGGGTCTGCAGCATCTCCCCATACAATCAAATTCGCCTTGCCCTCTAGACCTGGTCTGATATCGAGCAGATCAGCGCAGAGCTCATCCATATCTACCCGACTATACTCGCGTAGGATGTTGTCCCTCATTTGGGGGAATGGGAAGAGGTCGATCCACGCGGAATGGGGCACCGTTAGCTGCAGACTTGTGGGCTGAAGGCTCGGTGGACAAGAGTCAAGGATCAACCGGCTCGAATTCTGCGTCGAAAACAGAGACATGGCCCTCTCTCGTTGCCAGTGGCCTGAGATACCTAGAGTTAAACCATTTCGAATAAGGGCGTTCAGTATGTTGACCTGTATGATAGTAGACAACTGCCAAGGCTGTGGGTGGCCCAAGATGTAATCCTCGTACGCCTTTTGAACAAACTGAACGAGTGCGCCAAGGACACCGGGCTGGAGCAATGCGCAGTGAGCTGCGGGTTTTCGGCCATTCGCAGCCTCAAGCTTCTGCACTATTGGAGAGGTGGAGAGGATTTCCAGTGTCACTGTGCCGTCCGTAACTCGACACCATTGAGGTTTTGTTTCGTTTCCGGGTTGTAGTTTTGAGACTTTAGCCCGTCTGAGGCAGGCTTTTCTCCTCTCTATGAGCCATGAGTAAAGTGATCGCCTAAGATTGGCGACGAAAGAAGACAGGACTAACCATAGGCTCTTTGGTTAAGGCGATTTTGCAGCTTGCGCCTCCTAGCGCTGTCGGTTGTGCCGGTCCAGTCTTCTGCCACAGTCCGGATCTCTCGGCGCTGAATCATATCACTCAGCACGATTGGAGGAGCTATGGGGTCATCGCCAGGGCAAGCTGCCATCCTGACCAGTTCTTTGAAAGCAATGTGACCGAGTTCTCGGGGTCTGAGGATCGAGGAGGAAAGAAATTGGATTCCCGGGCCTTATGCAACTTGCTGAGGTTTGGTGCTGACTGACTTGCCGGGGTATTCAGCCTGTCACCAGTCTAAGCCAATCTCGTAAGCACAAACTGCTCCGCATCTAAGCAGGTTGCATTAGCTTCAACTAGTTTAGCCAATCAACGAGTGCCATGATGTTATCACCAGAAGAGGCATGAGGCAAACCCAAATTCGTATGTCGAAGTATATGAGACCAAAAAGTATAAGTATACAGCCGTTTGATAGAAGCCGGGAGAATTCTTGCTTCGAAATGCATCACAGAGAATAATACACAGAAGAAAATCATGCCACTCCCCGAAAAAACGAAGCAATGGGTCGTTGAGCGGTTCGATGGCCCTTCAGGGCTGGAGTTCAAAGAGGCCGACATCCCTAAACTTGGCAATCATGATGTTCTTCTCAGAGGTGAGTGTTTAACCACGCGTCTGACTTTCAGCTAACCGACATATTCCAGTCCACGCTGTTTCGTTGAATTATCACGATGTCGGAACTCTCAGAGTATGTTCCACCTACCCACTAGCCAATATCCCGCTAACAAAATCAAGGGACACTACCAACATGCTTTCAAAGGCGTTGTGCCTGTCTCAGATGGTTCCGGAGTCGTCATAAGTACCGGATCAGACGTCACAAGCTTTCAACCTGGGGATAAAGTTGCAACAACAATGAGTCCCTGGGAATCTGGCCCACTCAAACAGTCCAATATCGACAGCCTGCTTGGAAACGCCTTGCATGGCGTCCTCCAAGAATATGCTGTTGTTCCAGAGCAACATCTCATATCTCTTCCACAAAATCTTAGCTTCGTTGAAGCTAGCACGTTGCCTGTTGCTGGTCTCGCGGCTTGGAACGCCATAAACGGTGCCCAAGGCCGTCCCCTTCTCCCGGGGCAATGGGTTCTCACCCAGGGTACTGGAGGCGTCAGCACATTTGTGATATTGGTAAGACCCTGCCCCAGAAGTAATCCAAAACAAGGCTGACACCATTGGTACAGTTTGCTAAAGCCATAGGCGCTAACGTCATTGCAACTACCTCATCCACTGCAAAAGCTGAGCGACTTCGACAAATAGGGGCAGACCATGTCATCAACTATAAGGAAATTCCTAATTGGGGTGATCATGCCAAAGCACTTACCCCTGGAGGAGAAGGAGCCGATCTAGTGATCGAAATCGGCGGCGGTGCGACGCTCAAACAGGTAAGCAGGCAAACAATGAGCTCATTTTATTACTGACAGAATACTGATTGGTGATAGTCTTTGAATGCCGTGAGGCTAGATGGGCTTATCTCAGTGGTTGGCTTGCGAGGAGGAGTGAGCCCCGCTGAACAGCCCGTTTTGATGGATATCTTTTTTCGCTTCTGTACAATCCGCATCGCAGTCGTTGGTCCTCGTGTCCAGTTCAAGGAGATGAATCGTTTTATTAAAAGCAAGGGAATTAAGCCTATGGTTGACGATCGAAACTTCAGACTTGAGGAGGCAAAAGATGCCTTTGAATATCTGGAGTCAATGGGTCACTTTGGCAAAGTTTGTATCAAGGTAGTTCACAGCGATTAATCGAGCTGGTGGGCATAGGCTGGAAGAGCCTAGTGGAATGCCACCCATAAAGCAGCTATCTTAATATTTATTTATCCCCTAAGAATATATTATACTATAGTCTGCCTCTGTTTACGGTAGTATAAGTAGCTCTCCCCGCTTAAAGGAAACTGTTCTAAGAATCCAACTGTTTCCTAGCATATAATCTCAACGCTGAAGCTAAGACTTCACAATATAGCCCATTACTCCAACTTTGTCCCTAGTCTTACCTTCGGTCATGGCTACGAGGTATTCTTATGACTGCACCTGCAAAGGTCAGGGCGCGAACCTTCTATTAAGCTTTAGGATTGAATCTTGGTTTTCTTTCTTAACTCCTATTACGATACATCGCTGGCTACTTTTGCAAAATAAGCGCATGTGTCGTGTAGTCAATGAACCACTCTTTCGAAGGGACAATCGATTAATAAATGTTAACAAAACGAAACATATGCCTTTAAAAAGGAATTCTACCCTAAGAAGAATAGTAAGCGTAGCGAATCCTTTAGCCCCTGGGTCATGCAGGAAGAATTAGCCGACGTGGATTTGAATGGCTCCTGAGATAGAGAAACGGGGCAAGCCCCTGATGATGAAAGCAGAACCGCGGGGTTTTGGGCTCACAACACCATTTTCGTGAGCCTAATCTTCTAGTAATTCGCTTGAACCAAAACACACCACAGCCATCTTGCACCCAAATGATTGCATCTTCCACGACGCCTAGATGGACCAACTCGCCGGCAATGAAATCAGGATCATCGAACTTCTTCCTGGTGAAGAGGGTGCCCCCATCAGGTGTAAAGCGCGCGTAGAGTTGGAGTCGCGTGAAATAACGTACGAGGCACTCTCCTACGTCTGGGGTGATCATCTGAACCAGGCCACGATCGAAGTGTCCGGACGATCAATACAGGTTACCAAGACCCTGCACGCTGCTCTCTGCCGGCTTCGTTTACCTAATGAAAGCAGATCGTTGTGGATCGACCAGCTGTGCATTAATCAAGATGATCTGAAAGAAAAAGCAGCCCAGGTGCAGAAGATGCGATCCATCTACTCCAACTGCACACGCTGCCTGGTTTGGTTGGGAGAAGTAGAGGCGCCGTTTGAAATGCCTGATACCGTTAATGCATTCTCCTTTCTCGAAGATATGGCGTCAAGCTTAGGCCCGGCCACCCAAGATTCCGAGCAGATTCGGTTGCGCCTTGGGTCAATGCCTACATTCCTGTCAGCTATGAAGGCCCTGAAAAGTATTTCTATCCAGGATTGCCCCTGGTGGCATCGAGTATGGACAGTTCAAGAAAGCATCCTCCCCTCCGACAAAGTTTTCATCTGGGGTCCTTTGCAAATAACCTGGGATACATTGGTGGATGCATCCAAAGCATGGATTGAGGGCACTTTCTGGGATTGGCTCGATGGTGAATACTGGCACGTTGCGATTGACGAAGGCGATTTGGGCCACTTCATGGCAAGAATCATCTGGATCCGGATAGCGAAAGGTGGTGACGATGATTTCTTCAAGTCGGTGATAAGATGGCGCAGTCGAAAAGCGACAGACCCTTTAGACAACATATATGCGCTAACCGGCCTGCACCCACCAGGCGAATTTCCACGAATCGAAAAGTGCGACTACAGCCTCAGTGTCGTCCGCCTATACTCCGAGTTCACTGTAGACCTCATCGACAAGTTTGGGCTGATTATTCTTGGTTTTGACCCACGTCTGGAGCCTGAGATAGCCACGCCAGGCTTACCACGATGGGCGCTTGACATGAAGTCATGGCCCAACCATACAATTTTTCACTGGTACAACTATTGGGGCTATCATTACTACCATGCGAACGACGGGTTAACGGTAGTTCCTGTTGAACACAACTCTGAAGATAATACTCTAGGTCTCAGCGGGAGCTTTGTTGATAGAGTCAAGTTGACCGGTGATGGGTATTATTTCACAGAGGAGGAAGGGGGGCAGCCTCCTGTTTCATTGCTCAGGGGCTGGATAGAGCTTTACATCAGGGACCTTGAATCTTCCAAGCCAAACACGTCATCAGTTTCCATAGCAACCATCTTAACAGCTCTCAGAACGTTCAACAAACTTGTCATTGGAGAGACCATCCGGAATGGCGAGTGGCAGGTTGAGCGGGAGGCCATCGATGAAGATTTGGACAAAGTAACAAGGTTCATCGAAACTGGGTCAGAAGAGTTCCGGAATGACAGCATCTCTGGCATGGCAAGGAACCAGAGGTTCTTCGTAACAGAAAGGGGTATGATGGGCATCGGGCATCTAGATACGAAGCCTGGTGATGAAGTCTGGGTATTCAGTCTCGGTGAAGTGCCATTTGTCGTGAGACCAAAAACGCCGGGTGAGGCTCTGACTGAGCACTTTGATTTCGTTGGGCAATGCTATGTACAAGGAATCATGCAGGGAGAAATGTTTGAAGGAGATGAGCCAAAACCTCCACAGCGGATGATTCATATACATTAATCAGGTTAGAATACACTAGGCAAGTAATTTTTCATCTGAAGAGAGGGATTCTTTCTCTATAACGATCGGAACAAACCAAACGCAAGGCCACAAAAAGAATATGGGCAAGATCTCATTATCAAACTCGATCAACCTTTAATAATGGAACTCGTGGAACCGGCTCGAGCTGTTTCTGTTTAGGATGCGTCAGTCTCACTATCAATACAAATCGAGTCTGACTATCTAAGCTAGAAGACGTAAGTGAACATATAGATTCCGATTGACCATTCACAGAAGCTTTCTACCTACACCATTGCCAGACCATTTAGGCAGGAATCTAGATAAGCTCTAATTACATCCGCGTATAATCAATTCCGTTGATAAACTAGTCTGTAATTGTCGGCAAGGCTCATTTCGTGTTGGCAACCCAAAAAACATCTTTACCGAGCCCAGAATGATATGTAGGGGACGAGAGCTATTCCTAAAGATACCACTCACCTTTTATGCAAGGAGTGAAGCTTACGTCTGCTTATTGGAGAAGATGATGACTCCACGATCCACAACTGCCACGGAAGCGCTTGAGGGTGCATGGGTAAGTGACGACCAGGTCGCATTGACGAGCCAGGCCCCACCCATTCGAAAGCTCACTGGGTATGTTCTCATTTTGCGATGTAGAGTTCATTATAAATAAAGATCTATCTGCTTGTCGTCCGAGGTGGCCGACCAGCTCAGCGAGAAGCACATCACCCAGCTCGTCGTGATGGGTATCCGAGAGATGCCCCATAGTCTGCCCAGCGCGCCTGGAGCATGCATCGCGGATGAAGAAACAGGTAATCAAACAGCCAGTGGCGATACCAGACAAGGGAGCGCAACGGGAAATTTTGCGATGATGCAGATGGGCAACAGAACTAAAGGAATGGTTTACAGTAGACTTGCACGGCTCTGTAGCGCTTCTCGAGTGTGATCCTGACCGGTACCTTAAAACATTCTGATAGTAACGGTTCGTTTTCGTGGGATGCTATATATTTATAAGTGTTTAGACGAGCGCCGGAATAATGAAATGAAATTGTTGAAGCTCAAAAGCATGAAATTAAAAACGCAGATAAAAACGAGATATTAAGGCTTATCATAAGCCAAAGAACGAAAACACAAAGCTTGAGAATATAAACTCAAGCTATTAAAGACATTTAATTGACCTCATATGATCCTCTAGTAACCGTCCATGAAAGAAATCCACAACAATACCTCAATCATCTTGTCAAATAGGGCCATTTTATGAACAGTCACATCTCAGCTCCGAAATTCCACCAAAAACTTCTTCTCACTTAACAGCCATTAATCAACCCTTTCCGAATTTCTTCCCACCATTCATTTGGCCACGAGACGTTCCCAGTTGGGAAAGAATTCGTTTTCCGGTTGACCCAATTTCTTTTTGCTCTCTTTTGTGACTATGAACCATTGAGGTTGACCGTCGGGAGTGGCCTCGGGCCTAATAATACGGAAATTGGCGTCTGAAGTAATCTCGTCAGGAGACCACAAGATTGCCTTCAAGTTCTCGAATGTTCTGGCGCCTGAGGCCACCAAGATCGATTCAAATATGACTTCGGGATCTCCTCTTTCATCGGTCATGTCGATATGAAGTATTTCCAGACTGTTAGGGAGTGAAGAAATAAAGGTTTTAATCTCATCCTCAGCCTCAGTCTCGTCTTCGAGGTCCTCAATTGAGCATATCGCTTCAATATGAATGGACAGCCACTTGAGGTTAGTAAAATGGTTTAATTCAGGAATGGCAAATTTAATCGGCCAATCAAACAGACGGTCATCATCAACAAATGGATCCAATTTCCAAGCTTCCCTGCGAAACCTAATACTTAATTCTTCGATTGTTGTGCTCGACTTGAGCGGAAACGTGACGCTATCAGGACAGGAAGATTGGAAAGAAAGTCGGCGCAGGCACTTCATTTTGTCCAAGAAGGCTTCCTCGTTGGGCCAAGAGTGACGAATATCAACTCTCAATGAGTCCAGTTGAGGCATATCAAAGTCCTCTTTCAGAGATCCAGAGGTGCAGATCAGACTCTTCAAATGAGATGCGGTGGCTCCGATAAGGAGCCTCTCAGCGCGGCGCTCGAACCAGGCGTCATCGATTTTAGTAGGATAAAACTTAAAATCCATACATATGCATGGATGAGGCGCAAGGTCAAGTTCGAGTCTGTAAATCCTGGAAAGTAGATTGGGTAGAGCATTGGTTTTGTTCTTAGCAGCGGCCTAGGATGATAAGAGGCGGAATTCCCAGCTCTCCGCCGCAATGAGAGTGAGTTCATTTAGGCGGGGGACCATGACGAGCATGATTTGGGCAATACTTTCAACAAATCTTTCCTTGTTGAAATCAGAGCGGGAACATTTAATTCCAACAGAGGCTGCAATGCGTTTAATTCTTGAAACGCCTCTCTCTTTGAGTATTGGTTCGCATTCATACTCGGAATCGCTGTCGTCAAATGAAAAGTCCGAATCGTAGGAATACTTGTCTCGTATACAGTCCCTGATATCCAAGGCTTTGACGTATGTCCGGAGATGAGGGCGAGCATGGAGCCTGGATAGAAAGCGCATCGCGGACAACATGAACATCTTCGGACTTGGCGTTTTGGGACCAAAGGTAGCCTTCCAGTAATGATAGAGTACGGGTTCGGCAACGAATCGTAGTGTTTTGGAGACCTGGCAGAGATTTTTCAGGGTCATCTTGCCTTGACGACAAGCAGCGGCGGAGTGTGTGCCATCTTGTAGCTGTTGCGGCTCGCAATGGTCACAAAGAAATTCGCATATGCGTGGAGGACGAGGGTGGGAAGGCACAGCTTTGGCTGTTGGGGCTCAACTTGGCTGGATACCATGGTCGTTCGAGGGGGGATAGCGACCTGATGCAGAGAGGGGTGATCGATCACTGTCGGAAGAAACCAACGAAGTGTGATGGATGAGAGAGAAAACGAAATTTGCCAGAGCACGAGGAGAGGAGAATCATGAAGGAGAATGCGGCAGCCTGAGGCAGTAAACAAGCAGAAGGGAGGATGCCTGAGGCGTTCACGCGATGGAGGAAGGTGCGTCCTTTCACGTACGAGATACTAGAGTGATCAGTGGGTAATGAGATTAGAGGTACCTAGGTACTGTCAGATGGCATGAAGGTAATGAAGATAAAAATACATGCGCCTGCATAGGTACAATTCCCAGAGAGAGATTTCCACTTGGCTGAATCTCTTAACTTCGCTTCAGCGCAGAAACGCAGAGGCGTTGCCGGCGCAAGCGAGCAAATGACCACCCCGGGCGCCGCAACCAAAGTCATGCATCGTTGAGGGGAAAACTGGAAGTCGGTTAACCAGCGGAGATCATCTGCAATGGAGGCTTGTAGAAATTCAGAGCGTTCAAAGTTCTATTGTCCGATTAGGGACAAACCCGCGGGACACAAGAGGCAGGCTAATGAATCTCAATCATTCGAGCGAGCCATCTCTCTGCCTGAGTCGGCATAAACTGACTTTGGCAAGGCGCAACGGGGGGCATTGCGATCGTATAGAAGGTTATCATTGGGCTTCAAGGCATGGGATTGATCCATCAATATTCATGATCTACGGGAGGAAGCGAGACGTATGCGATGATGGTGGTGCTTTTGATGAGACAATTTTCATTTGATGATCCTGATACATCTACTTCAAGCTACTGGTACTATCTAGGAGTAAGGTCGTGCTACGCAAACAAATATCTATCTTCAATATGCATTGTGATTAAGAGCTTGGATCTCTAGACTCATCCCGGCGCTAATTCGGTCACCGCTGTTCGCCAATGTCTCGAAATCAAAGCTGTCAACAGTCCTTCGGTTTCAAACAATCATCGCAGGTAAATACCATTAGGAGGGTTCTATTCAGCAAATGAAAGTGAGACTAAGCAGTCAGTTTTATCATCGAAATCGAAGTTTCATCACTCCTCTTTAATTTTTTTCCCAAGCTCGGTACCGGACCAGTGATTAATTAGATATACTGTACACTTTTATCCCTAAATTACCAATTTATTTCGATTTGTCCAACCATTGCTATGTCCATTCGTGATATTGCAATTTTAGCCCAGCGTAAGAGATCACAGAGAGCTCCCACCATCTCGCACTATTGACACTTCAGCAATCTTCCCGGCCTTTGCAAATTGAGTTGCCACTTTGGAGGCTGTCCGACAATGTACTTCCGTTTTGTGTTGTGCTGAGAGAGGGGTCTCTTAGATCAACCTCACTGATAGTGTTCAGGTGTTGAACTGGCACGGTGGTCTTAGTACCCCAATACTTCTCCTTGATCAGGCGGAAGAGGGGCTGAAAGGCTGGGAAACATGACGTCCAGACACCAACGTGACCTTGAAGAGCAGACCAGGGACAGACGAAGATGAGCTTGTATGATCTACAATGAATTCACCCTGTTAGTGTACGAAAGAGGTATTGAATGGAAAGCAGAGTATAGGGATCAAGGAAAGGGGTGGTTTGGAGGGGAAGTACGTACGTGTCCACCGCAAAATCAGTAGTCACAATCAGGATCATGTGAACAATACCCGCGATGACGGCAAAGATGCCGACTAAGAAAACCAGGATTACCTGAAACCTCTTGCCGGAAAATTTCATTGTGGACCAGACCAGCCAGATTGGCAGAGCGAGAAGGCCAATGTCGATAGCAACAATAGTGAACACGTTTGCGTAGAACATTTTGGCCTCTTCTGATTTAGGGATGCACTGTCGTTTCGGGTTCGTGAGATCCCATTGATCACTAAATTGCCACGAGATCGGTTCGGTCAGCCTTGGTTGTCTCCGATCCCAGGGCAACATTTCATACGTACGGGATATACTTGCACTCGGTGAGCAAGAAGAAAAAGGCGATCACGGTGATGGCGAAGGTAAGGAAGGCTAGAATGTACAACCCGAAGCGGAACCATCCTAATACATCGTTTTATTAGCAACAATCTTAGCATCACAATAAAATTTCACAGCTTGGGGAGGGACGAACTCTCGTAGCTCAGCTTCAAGTAGCTAGCGATGATGGAGAATCGGACAAATCCAACGGATGCGAAAAAGACCAGTTGAAACGTGAGTAGAGTCTAGCTAGCGGGTAAGCCTCTTCGCTTCTGCAATGTCGATATTGGGCCAGGTCTATAGATAGTCACATACCTTGTATAGCTCATCCAGCGCCTCGGGAGGGATTTGGTTCATATGTGTGCCCAAGCCCTGCTTGACAGCTACAAAAATGAGACATTAGTTGGATACATTGAGAACATATCCATTTGTGGCAGCGTACCGACGATCCCCTGACATGAGATCGCAACAACTCCAGTCTAGAAGCAAGATGAGTCATTATGGCTGGTATCAGGGCTTGATTAGGTCAACATACCCACGCAATGGTTGCCATCAAGTCATCCCACCCGAGAGAGCGAAGCATGAAGATTCGTATACATAATCGTGTGATGACGAAGACCGAAGTGATCACAATCAGCCCAATATTAAGCCTTGTAAGGCAATAACCCGCGGAATCAGGTGGTGGCTGCCAATCGACCATCGTTTGTATCGGCGTCGTATGATTGAATGATATCGATCGACTTCAGGGCACGTTGGGAAGTATACGAGGCGACGTAGAGCCAAATCTGCTTGAACTACGACATTGCTCAAGAAATTAAGAAAAGACCAGTTCCCGCGCACCCGGAGGGCCGGCGGTAAGGGGCTTATAGGTCATAGCCACGGCCAGATGCTTTCGGTATGGGATTGCATTCCAGTTCACCAGGGTTCGCTCGCATCCATCGCGGGGCTCCAAACTCTGTAATTTTGAAAGGGCGATGGCACGCACTCTTCTTTTGTCACCCGTCGGCCCACCATATTGTCCGAGGTCAGCAGTAAACCATAACCAGCGAGTGGAATGTTCTTTCGGGCTGGATTCATCGTCGGTTGTAGTGGAAATGGTGTAGATATGTGGCGTCTTCCGATTTGGCCCAGTGCCACCTATAGACTCGGTATGCATCCTTTTCCTCGCTCATTAATCCACTGAACGAAAATAAAAGATTTACCCTAGATGAATCAACAACATAAAAGGCCGCCCCAGTAATTTACTGATCTATGCTCGTATCGGTCTGTATATGCCATTTGGAATTGCCTCCCGTGGGTGGCGCCGAGCCGAGCAACTGCCCGAGAGTCCGAGACAATTGTTCCTAAAAACCTCCGAAGAACATAATTTTGAGCCAGGCTTCTGATCCAGGCACTTGGAACTATCGTTATAACTAGAGCCGTCTTTGAAGGCAAACGCTTTCGTTATATATCTGTAGCATATTGGTAAGGCAAGTCAAGGACGGCTCAGATCTGCCTTGAGTATTTCTCGGTCGTTTATATTAGCCTCTTCTCTTCAAAAAAAAAAAAAAAAAAAAAAAAAAAAAGAATACTTCTGTGAACGTCCAACGTTTTCAAGTCTGCTTTCTCGGATTAGAACAGAAATCGGTGCGCTCCATGTTTAGCACTTGGTCGCCCAGACCAAACCCCTTATCTGCTGATATTCGATGGAGAACCCTTCCAAGGCACTGGAACATCTCGGGTAAATCTTCCAAATATCTCGAAGCGATCTTCATGGGGAAGAGAAGAGACATGGGCCCTCTATGTCCATCTTCGCCCAACAACAAAAAGTCGACAGCTCGGCAAACCTCAACAGCGTGTTCTTGTGGCGTTGCATCCCCTAGACGAATCATTGACGGAGACGACATCACTCCCTGGAGCAAACTTTGGGGTGGTTTAGTTAGTTCGCCTAGGGATGCCGATGTACAAACACCATGGAGCAGAAGCCACATGACAAAAAAATAAATGTAATCAAGGGCGAGACGGAAAGATCCAAACCACAGCACACAGCCAAATAGTGGTTCATTGCTCTCGGACACCCAGATCGAATTGGCCCTTATAGTAGGTATCTCCCAATAACAGTCTTGATTTTCTTGCATCCATCGCACTTGGAGGCGGAACAGCTCATCAAGTGCGAGTGACACTTCATCCTGCAATGCTCTGAGGCGGGTCTTGGAAGGGCATCTCAATACTTCATCATTATCCTCCAATATGCCGGGTACTCGGCAGAAGAGGTCTTGTAGTTTATCCCCTGTGGCCTTGGTATCTGGGTCGACTTCCCAGGGTATTGTTTTCCATTCGTCTTGGTTAAGAAACGACCTTTTCCTTCTTGCAATATCTGCCACCACCTGGTAAATACATATTAATTTCTGCTTACTGGTACGTCGTTTATCTCTCATCCACTCACAATAAAGCTCCGGAGTACGAGCAACAACTCTCGGGCCATCGGTGACTGGAAGGCCGCCGGTCCAGCGCTCTGGGCCTTTTCAAATTTCCCCGTCAGCATCAGTGAGGTGGTAAGTTTGAGGCCATTTAGACTTCAAAATATATTGTCCAACTTACCAAAGCAGCCATTCCAAGGGAATGATGAACCCAATTGATGGGTCCCATGCCTGCTAGGAGCTCATACAATACCAAGAATAAACAGCTCCATATTGCAACATAATGTTGCGCCCAACCTCCGTGGGAACCAAGCATCTCCAAGTCGCGCTGAAATCTGTGCAGTGCTTCGTCATATAAGGTAGACGAATGGCGAACCATACTTTTGTCTCCATGCATATGGCCGAACAGGGCCTCTGCCGAGCTTAGCCCGCATATGAAAGCCGGGGAATCTCTGTTCTTGGTTGATAAGACAGTCAAAAATGATGGTGCGTCCTCATGGATTTCGGGAGCGCTTGAGCTGTGCAGAAATGTATCACTTAATGTTGATATCATATAAGAAAGAACTATGTCTTGGGAAAAGGCTGATATATTCAGACTTGCGGGGATTTCAGTAGTCAACAATCCAGAATGCTTCTGAGCAGCTCTGCTGTCCTCGGCCATGCGGGACGCTATTAGACCCCGCCCCGACTGGAATGTTCGGTTAGAGGGAACGGGTTTCCCAAGTTGTTTATCTTCAAACACGAAAATGGGAATTGTATCGTATCCCAGGCATACGTGAAATCCCCGTCTGCAACGGTCACAGACTGGTCGCTTCTCATCTAAAGGCTGTTAATCGGATGACGAATGCACACGGTACATGAGTTCACCAGGATTCCTCGCCTACCACATTTGACTTTTCGTTTCCGGCATGTGGCGCAGCCGGCGCTTCGGCGACCTCGGACCTGTCTATCTGACGACATTCTGGATCATTAGGACCTGGTGTAGGAACACGAGGTGGCCCATTGGTGTCCGGAGTGTCGAAATGCGAGACGCTTCGTCATCAGAGGGGAAATTCGGACGGATATTTGCCGTACTTGGGGGGCCTAAATCCGCCGGCCCCCCTACCGTAGGTAGGGGGGGTCAGTGACTAGCGAAAAAGACAGTAACTCGTAAGAGAATAAGTAATCTAGTATACCTACTAATTAATAATATAATAATTATATTTAAAATTTAGAAAAAATATTATTAAATTCAGAATTAGATAATAATAATATTATATTAAGATAGATTAATTCTATAATAAAGAAATTTGTTTTTTTATAGTTTATATCTAATAACCTTAAATAGTATATTATTACTATAGCTAAACTCTTCTATATCTATTATTATAAAATAATTATAGCTATAAGTAAAGACTTTAGGGTATTATATTATTATCTTTAAAGCTATATTTAGGGTTATTTAAGTATTAATTTAAATAGAGAACTTAATACTCTTTTTAATAAAGTCTAGATAAAGACTATAGTTATATAGACTTATTACTAGATTCTTATAAGCTTCTATATTTAAGATTACTAGCTTTATTAATATATTAATATTATCCTATAAACTTTAGGGAAGAAAGATATAGCTTTTAAGTAATAATATAATTACTTTATAAAGAAGTATAGAACTATATTCTATCTTTATAAAGCTCTCTTATAAAATATAAAGAGAAAGAGTATTTAAAAATAAATTATTTTAATTAGTTAGTTTAACTACTTTAAGAGTTATTTATAATATAATTATATTAATAAGTATAATATATAGAATTTTAATAAAATTAATTTTATAATAAGATATTTTAAAAAAGAAATATTTATTTAAACCTTTCTTAATATTAATTAGCTAGTATTAATAGATTTATATAGTAAAGTTATAATTATAAGTATTAACTATATCTTAGTAGCTAGAGTAATTATTTCTTCTTTTCTTATTACTCCTAGTATTTAAATTCCTATTAAATAGATTTAGAATAATTTTAAACTAAATACTATTATTTATATAAGTATAAAGAAATAGATAACTAAGAATATTATCTTATTAATAAATTTATTAAGTATTATTATCTTAATAATATTACTCTCTTTCTATTATTATTAAATTTAATATATTATCTTTAATCTTATAATATTAGTATTTTTAGCTTATATAAATACTAGTATTAGAAAATATTATATTAAGAGATTATAGATAATATCTATAACTTTAATAAAACTAACTTCTTCTTTTATCTTTAAGAAATATATAATTATATATTTAAAAAGTTAATTATTCTCTTAATATAGTAGTAATCTGAGCTCTTTCTATATAATCTATTATAGTCAAAAGGGTCCTGGCAGGGATTAGCCAGCTGTTGGCCGAACCCTGCTTAGGTAAGCAGCCTAGCAGCTATATATCAGCTGGATTATAGCTACCTAGATAACCTAGATAACTTAATAATAAGAGATTATATACAGAAGACTAAGACAGTTACTTCTGAGCGTAACAGGTAGTAGTAATTTTACCTCGATCTAACCTACTAAACCGCTATATTAGTAACCAGCTAGCAGCCTGAAAAGGAATTTAACTATCTAACTATTTAATCTAATAGCTATCCCTTTAACTAGGCTAGACAGCTACTTTACAGATCTCTCTAATAAACCTGTCTTTATAAGCCTTCTAAAGCTAATAGCCTAGTTATTAACTGATAAAGAACCTATCCGTATAAGCCTGCAGCTATAGATAGCTTTATTATTAATATATAAAGAGCCTATCTGTATACTTTAACTGCTATAGATAGCTCTATTGCAGACCCTTGATAAGCCTGTCCTAATAAGCCTTCTCTTGCAGATAGACCTCTTATTAACTAATAAAGAACCTATCTGTATAAACTATAGTATTAAACAGCTTCTTTATTAACTTACAAAGAGTCTATCTATTAGACCTAACCCTTATAGATAATCTCTTTATTAAACCTAATAACCCTATCTGCTTAAGCCCTCTAATACAGATAGCTATATTATTAACCTATAAAAAGCCTATCTATTATAACTAACCTCTTATAATAGCTAAATTATATATCTTTAAAGAGCCTGTCTAACTGTTCTTCTCTTATTAGATAGCTCTCTTATAGGTTTATAATAACCCTATCTGATCTGCTTTCCTCTATTAGATAGTAAAGCTCTCTACCTATAATATAACTATCCTATCTACCTTACTAAGAAGACAGCTGTATTACTTAGAGCTGAAGGGCCTATCCGATCTACCTTCCTTTATCGGATAGCTATAGTACTTAAAGCTGAAGAGCCTATCTAATCTCTTTAACTTCTCAGACAGTCTCTTTATATTCCTATAAAGAGCCTATCTAACTTCTCTTCTTCTATTAGATAGCTGGATTATATCTATATAAAAAGCCTATCTAATCTCTTTTTTCCTTAAAAACAGATCTATTACTAGTTCCTAACTAGCCTATCTATTAAACCAGACCTTCCTGAATAGCCTCTTTATATTTCTTTAAAGAGCCTATCTATAGCTACTGCTAGCTATAGATAATCTCTTTATATTCCTTTAAAAAGCCTATTTAAAATAGACTACTTTAAAAGATATAAGCAGTAGCAGATAGAAGATATAGATATAACTATAACTGTTAGACCTATAGCTCTTATAGTTAGCTATATCCTATAAGAAATACTTTTTTTTAATACCTTAAGAAGAGTAGTTACTTTTAAAAGAACCCTTAGGGAATTAATCTAACTCTTTATATACTCTGGAAATAAGGATCTTTTTAATCTTTCTAATAGTAGCTTTAATAGCTACTTTCCTTTTCTTCTTTCTTTAGTTATTAGATTTATTATCTAGACTACTCTATCTATTAAAGCTAATCTAATCCTAATTATATTAGCCTAGGTCTATAAGAATATAATTAGTAGTTAGTTATTAGCTTTAATAGCCCCTAGCCTAGCTAATCTAATCCTGATTATATTAGCCTAGGCTTATAAGAGTATAATTAATAATTAGTTACTAGCTTTAAGAACTATAGACTGAATAGTTCTAATATTAATTATAATAACTATAATAATAGAGAATATAATTAATAGTTAGTTAATAGCTTTAAAGACTATAGATCTAATAATCCTAGTATTAATTATAATAACTTATTATAAATTATATTATTATATATTAAAGTTATATAGACTACCCTACTTTTTCTAACTAATTACTAATAGATTATTAGGATCTTATAATAATCCTAATAATCTAGAATAATAGATTATTATTAAGCTTTAATAATCCCCTAGTATATATATATATTTACTTTATTAAATAGAATACTCTCTTAGATAGTTATTAATATAATTATCTATATATCTATTACTACTAGCTCTATAATACTTATATATTA